GTGTATCTCCAAGGAGATGCAGCAAAAATAGAATATGAACAGAAGGGCTGACAAGTTAAACTTTCAAGACAACTTGTACCTTCTAATGGCCTCCACTTGTACCCCATCAGATACTAACAACAACAGCTTCCCTCTTTTCCTGTCTCTCTTCACTGCATCTGCCAATCTGCTATAGATATTATATCATTCATTCATTCTTTATTTCAAACATATTTAAAAAATAAAGAAAAGAAAGTAACAATATATATAAATAATAAATAATATTAAATAATAAGACCTCATGTGAGTGACAGCAAAATACATAACACACACATAACCATTTCTATACATAAACATATATACATATAATCATGTACCTACATACACACCCACATACGTTCTGTTGCCACTCCATAAATAGTTGAATCAAAAGGAGAGAAAATGTACTCTCCAAAATTATATCCACATGAAATGCAGCATGACACCCTTCAAAAATCACATCTTGGACTTGTTTTCGCTCACAGGCTGATCAGCAGATTCACAAATTACTTCTCATCTTTTCAGACATTTTTTAATCAGGTATTCCACAACATATTTGTTCTTGCCTCTCTGGGAACTCTCTATGTTTCTTTGAAGCTTGTGCTTCCCAAAGCAGAATTTAAAATAACTTTCCAACATACAGCTGTGTAAATACCCAGCACTTGTCACAGTTCCCACGACTTTCCACTGCACCAGCTGAGGGTTTAAATGGGAACACAAAAGTTAAACTGTACATGATACCGTCATGCTACAACATGACACAAAATGAAGCAAACATGCATGTAAATAAACATTAATATGTGTTTGTATATTTGTGTGTGTGTAATTATGCATCATTGAATGCATGTATTGTGTGTGCACCTGTGTGAACACAACATGTGTATCTATACATACATGTTGCATAATGTGAAGTGATCAGGTGACTTCTGGCAGTCAGTCAAAAAGGACTTCCTCTCCCGGTCAGCAGTTCATATAGGGCTAAAGATTTACGCTGGAGGTCTTCACCAGCAAAA